CACGGCCGGCTGACACTGCCATACTCTGTTACCTATCATCTTGTTTATTTAATTCATTTAATTAAAGTAATCTTTCCCTATATGTCATCCTGATAAGTATATGGTAAATAATACAATATTTTGTCCACTTTCAGGAAGTCAAACTCTTGACTGGAACCTTCGGCACTGTACTAACACAGTAGGTAAAATTAAGTTTCGGTTTGTGTGTCACTTTCAGATAGCGTTATATCATTTACGGAGATAAAGAGATAAATGAAATTATTGCCTTCAGACCGCTCTAGTAAGGATAGGTGAAGAAACCAATGAAGTGAAATAACAGAATGGCTCTATCAGACAAATAACTTCTCAGGTTTTCAATTGCACGGGGTAGCTTAATACTGTGAGAACTTATTATAGATATCCATTATTTTATTGAAAAATATTAAATGCAAAAGTTGTTTGTATAAAAGTGCGGCATGTAATCAGAATGCACAGCATGTGACTTCTTCAATTTTAAATATAACACTCTGTATATCATTTCACTTTTGGATATCCGAGTAAGGACTACCCTTAATTTTCAATGGTTATAAATTGGTTGTAAATACATATTAAGGATATCAGAAGTTAGTAATGTCAGTTCTGACTTATTTTGTGCCAACCAAAGGTATCGTAAAAAAATGTATTTTGATTTTAAATATTATTTGGCATTCTTAATAATGAATTAGCGGTTTATATGGTAAATTCTGGATAATACGACATTAATAAAAAAACATAAAATGGAAATTTTTCCCAGAATTCATTTTTTTTGGGCCATATGCTCTTTTAATCATATTTGAGATGCAGTTTTTGCTAAATTGTTGGGCTATCTAATGGCGTAAAAATTGATATACGTTGCATTTATTCTTTTTTCAGAAAATTAAGATTTTTGCTATTATGATGATATCCTAGGAAAAGCCGTTTTTACCTAGTTCAAGTTTATTAAAATGTTCGTACACTCCTGGACATTTTTCTTGCAGATATGGAGCTATCAGCATAAAACAAAAATGGATTTAATTTTTCTCAGATTTAAAACAGAACTCACTTTAATTATGGTTAACATTAGAAATTTTTGTAGAAACCGAATTTTAATATCCAACATAACAATTATGCCCTCTGGTGGCCATCTCAGAAACTCAAAAATAATTTCCAGTACTTTCTCTTTTCGGAATTACTTAATACATATTTTTTATAATTTCTAGGATCGTTCGTTTCAATTACTGCGACACCTGGGACAAACAGTCAACACACAACTTATCCTGGAAGGAAATGAAGTAGTCTTAAATTATTTGTGTTTTTTGTATGTGATAGCAATGTAGGTACGTCAAGCAACAAAGGAAATACAAGCATGATGCTTAAGATTTCATCTTAGGAATTACAATAACTATATATTTTCTGATTAAATATTACCATTATTATTATTATTAGGGTACTTTAAAAAAAATGAATTTTGGTTCAAAAAATACTTCAGACTTTTTTTTATTTGCGACCTCAGTCGCAATTGCGATTCAATGGCCGTTAAACTTTGTTATAGACCGACTTCAATTGTCGATAATTTCGAAATACACTTATTCAGTAATAATAACCTTGTTCCTACTTTCACGTAGGGAGTGGTTGTCAAAAAATAGAAGGTCTATTGTTACAAAGAGACGTCGAGAACCGTAGCTGTGCGAGTCTGAAATTGGCGAACCAACTTCGGAGATTTTTTAAAAGTTTTGATTAGTTTTCATATACATGATTGTGCCGGAAAGATCAAATGTAATGTGTAATTGAAGTCTTTTTGTCAAGTTATATACTTTTTATTTTTCTAACAGAAAAGGTTAGCACGGTAAAAACCGAAACAAATATATAAAAAGTGCGATAAACAACGAGGTTGCAAGAAATATCTTTATACAAGTAATAAAGTATAAACTATAAGAACAAAAAAAAATAACTTACGGTTTGATATGGCAAAATATTGTTACTTTGAAAATGGTCACATGCAAACACCAAATATCATTGAATATTTATAGTTGAAGAAGTTTCAGATTTATAAATTTTGATGAGACTTTTGTTAAAAAGTTTTGAAGCAGTGAAGGTAAGATTACAGAACATCATAATAATATTGAAATGCAACGGGGTATTATATGTGCGACTATTTGCTGCTGCTTAATTTAGATTTATTTTATTTAAAATCCATTTATCCATTTTCTTCATGTGGACCAGATATATGGCCCGTTTCTGTCTTTAATGGACGAAGAATACAAAAAGTCAATTGGCTGAATGTTCATTGAGTACTTAAATCCATCAACGACATTTAGGTTTAAAAGTGAACATGGATGCTGAAAGCCCGGCGTTTTGTTCTATAAATTGTTATTTTTGATGCCGCTCGTTTTATTTTGATACTTTAAATAATAAACGTTTTCTTATTGTTACTGGAGTATCTTATAACCCCGATACAGGAATATCGTATGAAATAGATCTATGTTTTATATTTTTGTGGTCCATTGGCCTAGGAACTAGTCCTGAAAGATTGAGTAAGGGAGAAGGATAATTAAATTTTATTTTTTTTAACACTTCTTCGTTCAGCTTTAATTGTTGCTTGTCCATTTGATTTTTCTATTAATTTGTGGTCTTACGGAATGTGCCTAGTCTGCCTTTTACACCTGCAGACCACTTAATTATGATGCCACAGTCGAGGTATTAACGACATTTGTTCTCTGTATTCTTTGTCACGGTACTACTGTCCTGATAAAGCCTGCAAACCCATGCCAAAGCTCGACTTTATAATAAATTATTTAGTCGCCCCCTCTACTATATATTAAATATAGAAATTTAAATCAATTTTTAGAGACTAAAAAGTAAAAGACTTTTTATGGAAAAACGTTCCTATAATTAAGGTGCATTTACTGACTGCAGATCTGGTTTTGTTAATTTGAATTTAACTTTCCATTGAATGAGCCACCCATTATGATGGCTACCGATTTTAGGTGTATTTTCAACAACTATCCTGATCGATATTGTTCTGTGTCGTGTTTCGTGCTAATTGATCATTTAATTGTAATTAAGTGTTATTAAGTTACGAAATAAATAAATACTCGGTAAGATTGAAAGATATATAGCCAATAAATTGAAATATTATAAACAGAGTGTGCCGACACAAAAAAATTAATTATCACTTGTCGTGTAATATTTAATATAAATTATAGTGATTTCACATTCAGTCTCAAAGTCGACAACGTCAATTTTTACACGAGTTGCCTTAACCGTTACAGTAGTAGGAGCAATCTGACAGTAATCCGGTGCCGAGATTGATTTAGGAGAATAATTTAAATAACACAGCAAGCAACTAAACGTTGTGTAGCCACTTATTTCTTTTAAAAATGGCGCATGTTAACGCGAGCATTCAAACGGCGTGCTCCGGATGTCAGCATATTTTTACTGATAATAGCAATTCATAACACAAAAATATTCGTGGTATAGTTTTGTTCAAATTATATCTTATTAAACCAATTTATGTAGGTCACAGTTATCGAAACTTAATAAAATGGAAACCTAGCAGGCTTTAGAATTTTTACATCAACATCAACACCGGTAAATAAAAAGATTTTGGCATATAACGATGGCCTGCGATTAAGATAATAAATTTGCTTTAAATAAAAAAGTAAAAAGTGCGAATGAATATTATGCAGTGCGGTAAACTGCATTTGAGTCACGAATTTATTTGGTATGAGCGGAACGAGTATTTAATATAGGAATTACCTAACAAGTTTACCAAACGTGTTGCATACTATACTTTTTCTACGACCGTTAGTTTTTGGCTACATTTTTGCCGAACTATACGAATACATTCGCAGACATGACCGTCAGAACTGACAAATCTCCGAAAACATCCGATTGCTCCCAAACCCATATTGACATATCCCGAAAATGTCCGAAGGGGCTCGGATCCGTGGGACAAGGAACTCACGTGATAAAGTGACGCTTGCCGCATGCTAGATCGGTGTATAATTAGTTATTTTACAGAAGGGAGTAGAAAAATCAATTTAATCAAATTAATTTAAGTTTATTTTTGTGATCACTGTCTTCAATGCAGGAAATTAGTATCATGATAAACCAAATAGTAATATAACAAAACCCACTCTTCGCTAAACCAATTACTAATAAAATTTATACAAAAAAAATACACCGATAATTTTGTGGTCAAAGAAATGATTAGCGTTTTATGGCACTCAAAATGGAAACAGCATAATTCGAACCGAACCATACTTTACTTTTACTGCAATGCTTAATTAATAAACACAATCTTGCACTTCCCCTTAATTAAGTCAATAAGTAAATTTAATCGGATATTGTGTAAAATCGATACGATGTATTAAATATTGTTTATTACCGCGATATAAATTTTGAAAAGTCTTGTCAGAGACTGTAACTAAATAAGCCAACGTCTATTTAAATTTATCAATATTCATTGGGCACGGTATGCGTTCGAATATATTAGATACACCAGGCAATTTGTTCGGACGTTTGTATTTATTTCCTCTGCTAATATACTTGCATTATGCAGCGAGTTGGTAGTGAGACACGGCAAATTTCAATGATGAAAGGTTAATTGATATTTTGCACCTTATTAAAATGAAGGCCACGCCCTTTTTGGTTGAATAAAACATATTCGTCAGTCGATACAATTATGAAATAGGGATTAATGATCTTATTTCGATCGGATAGAAACAACAATGAATTAAAAAGCGAAAAGCAAGCCAGTAGCACATATATATAGGATAACGAAGTCATTCGTCCTGTTTAACTTTGCAAATAGAATGCGACAAGCTCAAAAGATGAGGAAGTAAAGAAGTAAAGAGATTGATTATGATAACGCACCACGGCATGAAGTAATGATCAAGTTTTAAGGAAATTGAAGGACTTATTTCCGCATTGGTTATAGGCATCCGCCATTATGTCGTGAGTCAATTACACTTACCTGCACATTGAAATTAAACAAACTATAACGGGAACTTATTTTATTTTCTCAGTTCTTACAACTATTTTCGGAATTAATATGATATAAGTAGTTTCCTAAATGAAATTGTACTAATCATCACCCCCAGTCATTACTTCCATGAACTCTGAAAATGTCAAATTATCCATGTATCTAAAACGTCAACATGATATTTATCATGTCAGCGTTTTAGGTTTAGTTATATTATTAACATTTTTATATATCTAATAAAGCATTACTCGACTTATGCCTATGCATGCGTGCAAAATTATTTATAATGGATCTGCAAATATTTATTATACTGGCTTGGAGTATGCAAAGAACTCTTGTGTTTGAATGCGGTATTAACGGTTATTCGCGGAATATTGTACGCAGTAATTTAAGAATTACCTCATTCCGTTTAAATTAATGAAGTTATAGCCACTTAAAAGTCTTATTTAAAAAAATAATATTTAGTCTAAGCTAGGCAGTTTATCGAAAATTTGATATAAAATATCAGCTTATCGTTAAAGCTATATAGCAAAATTTCTATTACCCATTGCACACTTAATGTTAGATTAATATTTTTAAATTATTAAATAAAAACTGAGAAACTATATAGTCATATACACTAATTTCCTAACGGGCACAATATTCCCTGCCGTATGGTTTATGACGTATACAGTTTTTATTGAAACTTGTTTAAAACATTTAAAAAACAAAACCAATTTTTTCATCCACGTACCCCTAACGAGTTCAAATCGTTTACCTACCATCGTAGTCCACAGTTCCTGAACCATCTGTATCAATTTCTGTGATGATCATGTCAAGTTCTTCATTTGTTAACTTATCGTCGAGTTCTTTCAAAATTTCTTTTAGTGTACTTGTGGTAATGTAGCCATTACCTTGAGGAAAATATTACAAGATGGTCGTTATTTTATTTCTTAGTGCAAATTTTGTTGCAATTTGCAAATTACCTTCTTTGTCGTATAACCTGAACGCTTCTTTTAATTCTTGTTCCATAGCTTCGGCATCTTCTTCTACCAGAAATCGGGATGCCAGAGTTACAAATTCCGCAAATTCCAGTTCCCCAGAACCTAGGAATTTAATGCCGGTCTCAGTGATGATTTTTAGAGCTCATTTATTTCGATAAAAAAGTTATTGTGTTAGATGCAACTTCACTAGAAGCAACAAAGAGCAACAAAACGGCATATGTGATTTTATAGCTTAAACATTTGAAGAAGACCAATAAATACATAAATACCATCTTCGTCGACTTCAGCTATGATATCGGCCAGCATTTTATCAGTTGTCTGTACCCCAAGCATGCTTAAAATAGTCCCAATCATCACGGTTCCTATACTACCCTTCTTTTCTACGTCAAAAGTGTCAAAAGCATTCTTGAGCACTAAAAAAAAATATTTTAGAACTTTCGGCGTCAATATACCAAAATAAAATATATTTTTTCGGAAATTGTGACTTAACACTTCTTGACAAATGGTGAATGCTTTATAATTCAAAAAAATATAAAACTATGCGTATATTACATGCGGTTGCGATACTCACATGCAATTTGGTCTTTTGACAGATCTTCCTAAAACACGAAAACAGCATTGGTATTTTTCACTTTAAACTCACTTTTTATTTTGTATATACCAATCCTTACCGACATTTTGGATAATCCGCTTCTAACTAACAATCAACCGTGAATAGCGTGAAAAATCTCGAGAACGTCTGATAGAGGGGAACTGCCCATGAAACATCCTAGGCATCTTAAAATAGATCGCAATTAATATTTGCTGCAATTTTTTGTAATTATAGTTACAGCTGTTAATGTTGATCAAATCGGCAACTCCGTCCGTCCGATTCTCAAATTCCCTCCATATTGTTCAGATCTTGAGAGGTTTTTGCTATTTTTGTTTCTTTGATGATAATAATTTGTTATTTTTAGTGAATTCAATTTGTTCATCTTAATCCACAATACATTTACACTATTATATGCCTCACATCGTTATGGCTAATCTGGCACCTAGGTAAACTATTACCTGTATGTCCCAATTGTCCAGACTTTTGTCGTCACGGAAGATACTAACATCGAGAACTATAAGATAACTTGTGTTATTAGCTCACTGAAATAGCCTAACTTAGCCATAGTTCCGAAGTTAAAACAGACACACAGAGGCTTGTTCATTCAATCTGAAATAACTTTTAAACAATTTTCTAAATCGTTTTTCTTTAATCTTACGTAACTAAGCAGGTATTGCATTATATAATTTGGGGCCGGTATAGCTGCAAAATATTTTGCCTGACTATAGTACTAAATAAATTATTTAAATTTCCTCTCGTGTTGTAATTGTGACAAATAAAATCGTAAAATTTTTCATTGGTATGATGCAGTTATTATATACAAACTCCTAAGTTCAAGTAAATCCCCACAATACAAGAGCTTCATTGGATATAAGTCTTGGTTTTCTCAGTAAAGTGGGCAATATATAGTACTTTGTTACTTATAGATAGTTTAGATGTTGTGCTCCTCCCCATACCAGTATACTATAATTTAATAGGGACTCCACTAATGCTTTATAGGTTATAGCAAGATTTTTAATTGGCACAATATTTAGCAATAGATAAAATATATGTGTGATGCACCGCAGTTTCTTGCACAAGTAAAGAATTTGTGATACCATTTTAAATGGTTATGTGTCACCACTCCTAAGTTTTGAAAAATTATGTTAAGGACGTTATTTGTCAGAAATCATGTGATGCAGCAGGTAAACGTCAAACTAATGGGAAAATACTAAATTTGTAAAATTTATTTTTTTTATTTCCTGAAAAGGTGAAATAACTTAATGCTTCATTGTGTTTATGAGGCATTTATTTAGAAAATATAAGATGCGGTATCTAAAATTGTTTCTGCGATAAATATTTGCACCAGAAATTAGAGGCACCTTGTATTCTTTATTCTAAGATAATGGCAAATCTGTAGTTTTTGTAGGAACCGTTAAAAAAAACGAAAATCTTTTAAAACAAAACCGAACAGTATCAACTTTAATTTTATAATAATAGTAATAATATAACAAGTTTAATTTTAAATCAACCATTAATCAGAGTTGCTACGTTCGTCTGATTTTGTAACAAGGATACAGGGAAACAAATAATCGAGCAGTTCTTTCCAAATAGATTTTAAAATCGTCATGTCTAATACTAAGTCTACTAGCTTAAAGTTGTAAAATAACATAAAAACTGAAAATGTTTTCCATCTAATTTGGTAATTTCTGCGACAACTGTATAATTTTTGAAAAATCAGCCTGAGCCTTGCCTTGTCTGGTCTACAAACGACATCGAAATTCATTCTGAATTTTTGTTTTGTTTTCTTTAACAAGTAACTGGTCCGTTCCATGTGCTTGTCAGTTTCCCAACTGGAACCGATAACTAATTTTTAGAAAACATTCTAACCACCTAATCCACGCATGGAGTGAGGAAATGCCCTGTACCATTTATCAACCTCACCAAAATATTTTCTATTTTGTTCATAAGAGTATTTTCAAATTTCGCCTGAGGAATAAGGCCTAAATATATTTTTGTTGAACATGTCATTTTTATAAATTTTGGAAATATGGAGAAGCCTGTAAATCGAAAACTCGCCATGAAACTGAGAGGAGACGAATACAACAAACTATAATGTTACTTATATAGGTACCTTAATAGATTTTTATAAAATAGGGAGGCAGAGACGAGCAGAATTTTATTTTTAGCAAAGTTTATGAGACAATAAGTATTCATATAAAAAACTGTGATACCGTTTTGCTCGATTCTTAAGATATCTGTAAGCAAAATTAGATAATTTACTTTAGTTAGGTAATAGCCAGATGAAGAACACAGATTCATTTAAATCACAGTCACGTGAAATGCAAAAAACATAAATTGATATGTATTTATTGATATAAGTAGCCTAAACTTACCTCTATTAAGTTCAACCATTGAAAAAAGGTATTTACTTATCGTGGCCACAAAACAGGAAGCAGAACTTGGATAGTGTTTCAAATACTTCTACAAGAAACTGAAGGCGTAATACGATTGCACATACTGGAACGCTGTTTACGGTTAGCATGGAGATGTTTACCCGCGATTTAATTGTTTTTAGATAGTTCAAAGTCTGCTTGTTTAATGCTGCGGAAAATATCTTGGAAAAAACGAAAAGTCAAATTTGAAATTTTTCAATTTGGGTTATCCTGGCCCACCGTGCGGCATTCTTGCAGGGGTTCCGTTACATTGTTCACAATAATATCATTATAATAATATATAAGGCTTCTGTCAGGGAATAGGCAATATATTGTGTTTTAGGGATATTTTTAATGCTCATAAAACCCGTCCTTACCCTTATTGATACATTGATGCTATACTACATTTTACATTTTTGCGCATCACGTAACCTTCGTTTAGTTTGGTTCAATCATAACAAAACTAACAAAAACAAGTATAACGACAGTTTATTAGGATTATCGACAACAAAATAACTTTTACTGCAATTAATGGAACATAACCATCATAACATACCGCTCATACATTCCACTTCACTAATTTTTTTCACAACCACATCTGCTTCAAGTCGATCCACTTTATTAATCATCTCCTCCCGTCATAACTTCCATAAACTCTGCAAAAAAATGGTGAAACTCCTAGTGATAACGTATTCAGTCCCGTTTCTGAGTACTGGATTACACAGAATGCATCTCAAAATGCAGGGTGTTTCATGCGCCAACGGTCGGCTAGGGATTGTTTACCAAAATATTAAAAAAACTATACAAAATTTTTGAACATTTATTTTTTGCAACGTTTAATGTTGAAAATCAGATGAAAATAAATTAATTTAAATAAATGAACATATCACTATCTTGTGATCGGCAGCATTTTAATCAAACTTGAAAATATTTTGAACCCTATATATATAAGTCGGAAAAGTTTTCCGATAAGAAAATGCTCCGTTTTGTCGTATAAATGTGATAATATCATTTTCAAATTCGATATTACAAAATTCACCAATGGAATTGCATTTTTCTGTTCGATCATATTTCTCAAACTCTTGACTAATAATTTCTTAGTTAATAGTCATTGTCATTTAAAATGATCATTTATTACAAAATCCTTTTTAAGCATTTCTTTTGTTATGTAAACATCATTTCGTTCTTTAGTATGAAAATTTGTTCCAACATTTTCGCCAAATTAAATGGTTTTGCGTGAAAATTACTTCGAGAAACATGTTTTTCTTAATTGTGTAAATTAAGCGCGCAAAGCAATGCACAAAATTAATTTACACACACACGCATTAGCGAGAAAAATTTGGCACATTAACACCGGGATGTATTCATAGATAAAATTAACGCCGAGAAAGAAAACCGCCGCTTGAGTCTAGACGGCCGTGCAATATTTTTTAACTGAAATAAATTGTTCCGCCAGTTGTTCCACATCACTTTGTTGTCCTCCGTGTATCGCAAATACGTGCAGTTGAGTTCCTTCGAACATTATGTAGTATTTTGACACGTACCGACCTGGTTTAAATCTGACAATCATTCAAAATTAATACTGTTGTGGTTCAAATTTTATTACGTGTTTAAATTTAATGTGACAATGTTATTTAACTTATTTACACAATGTAAATGCAGCGTTTAATCCGCAACATGTTAACTCAGATATAAAATCAGATAGTTAGATAAGTTGATGATTTTTACCTGATCGAGCAACCAATGAGTATACCAATTGCTAGAGAAAACATTATTTTTTAAATCTCGCCAATATGAACAACTTTTTTTTTTGCCTGATAAATTGAAAAATTTATTTCTTTAATTAATTTTCAATTGCTTAATTGATTCCGCCCATATGAATGGACACATATTATTTTTTTAAAATGCCTTATATGTTGAGTCCCAGATTAACCGATTTTTTTCAAGTTTTTGTTCATCTTTTTAATTGTTACATTATTAATTATAATAATAATTAATTATTTTTGATAACAATTAAATTTATTTACAAAATATTAAATACAAAACGAAAATTTAATGTAACTATCATGATGGCTAACGATACGCATGAACTAAATGCTCAATCACAAAATAATATTTACGAAATGTAGGCACGAACAAATATAGAATTTATTAAACCCTTTTTGTTAGCTATATAAGATTCCATTCAATTCAATAAAATTTCAGAAAATTCCGAAATATTGAAAAAAATATATCGTTTATTAAGGAAATTGAACTATATTTTTGTCTTGTTATATAAATAAGTAAATCTCTCCAATATAAAGTGCTAAGTATGTCCGAGGCCAGAGCTGTTAAGCACTGTTTGAGAATTTCTTGTTATATTATATTGCTGTAAAATTTACAGTGTAAATCATATCGTTTCACATTTTAATGTCGAAGACCTCATAAGCTGAACATTCTGTTCCTAAATTCATGATAATTTCATTCATTTTTTTTAACTCCCATATCATATGGCTGGAAAAATTTATTACAGTGTGCTGCAAAATCTTATTCCTTTAAAATAAAGAAAATTTCGAAAATTCCTTGCATGACACAATAAATCCAAAATGTAACGTACCATCAAAATCAACGGTTCCCGATCCATCTGTATCAATTTCGGTGATCATCATATCCAGTTCATCGTTCGTCAACTTATCGTCTAATTCTTTTAAAATTTCTTTCAGCGTTTTTGTGGTGATATATCCGTTTCCTGTAGACATAAAGCAGGCTTATAAACGCAAAATAAGTAAAGAATTACGTTTTACCTTCTTTATCATATAATCTGAATGCTTCCTTGAGTTCCTGCTGCATAGCTTCGGCATCTTCTTCCACCATGAACTTCGAGGCCAAGGTGACAAATTCTTCAAACTCCAGCTCGCCAGAACCTAAAGCACACGGTTTAATGCAACTATTTAGAAACCCATATTATATACCTGTTTTTTTTAAAGAAATAGATATTTCAAAGTGAAAGAAATTTAAACATTAGACACTCATTGAGGGCACATATCTTGTGACTTTGCTTTTAAGAAATCAAAAGAAAAACCAGAGAAAAAAACTACATTAAATCGACCACAAATGCTAACCTTCAATACTAATTTTTATAAATTTCCTTTTTTTGTTGCCAAAATCCCAGCAAATATTTTTTTGTTACAAACGCTAAAATTTACTGCTTTTAGCGTTTGTAACAAAAAAAATATTCAGTACAAATTTAATAATTTAAGCACCAAAGCATTTTTTTGTTTAGTAATTAAATGAGTTTATTGATAGACGTATTGAAAAAAACTTACGAAACTTTTCTCAAATGGTTTTAAAGACTATCGGGCAAAACTGTCAAAACCTAAATTCCACTTTTACTTAGCGAAAAAGAAATGAGAAATTAGTAATTATAATATTTTTTTATATTTTTTACAGATTTCTGCGACACTGAAATTGTTTTTTTTTACCAAAAATTTATGCAAAGCGTTGTTGTTGATGAATGAAACACTGACATTTCCTCATGACTATGTAAATCCCTTACTTGTGTTTTGAAGCAGGATACACAAATTGATGAAAGGTTTGTATGACCCACAATTTGAATTTATCTAAGTAAATGTAATGTGTAGTTAGTTAGGAGGAAACTAATTTTGGACAAAATGCTTCGCTTCGCATTACAAAAACAGTTCGCAGAATGCTGAAATTTTGTAATTCAAAATTAAATTCGATATTAGTTTGTTTTTTGCAAACTAAATCAAATATATACATATATTTGGCAAAAACCAACCGGAACCTGAATAAATTCTACAACATATATATATTTTTGAAACATTTTATAATACGCTTAGCTGAAATATGATACAGTTATATATAATACGCTACTTCCAACATATTTCGCGAGCAGCAAGAATGAGACAATAAAGGTTTTATATAGCTTTTTCAGTTCCCTGATGCTTAGCTTGATGATCATACCATTATAGGTTTCTTCTTTCGTCTAGTTCTGTATTAAAATAACATTGAGCAAGTTCCTATCTATAGAATGTTGAACTTTAAAAATTGTTCTTCATTTCCGTAAACATTCATCACCACTGGCGCGAGATTTACTGCAATTTAATTTTAAAATTTTACTGAATCGTGTTAATTTTTAATGTGTTTTTTTTTGTGTCCTGAATTTTCTCTTCAAATGTAATTGTTATGTAGAAAAAAAAAGAGTTTAACATTATTGTGTGGAATTATTTTTCCAATATAGAGTCAAATATTTAAATAAAATGAATTTAGAAATTACGACGTTAAGGGTATTCCGCAACTTAAACTTACCATTCGAATTTCTTGATCACATTTGTAACTACCTTTTTTTACTTATTCGTCAGTATCACGTTTTAACTTTCGATTTTTAAGTACCGTCGATCTTTATTTTTGTTCTGTACATGCGATGTCTAAATAACATATTTTGGGATAGGTCAGTTTGCTTAAAATGTACTTACCGTCCGTATCCACTTCCGCGATGATGTCGTTTAATATTTGCTCCGTCGTGGTGATTCCCAACATCATAAATATAGTTCTAACCATTTGAGTGCCGATACTTCCTTTTTTCTCGACGTCGAATGTGTCAAACGCTTTCTTGAGAACTAAAACCACATTTGTACAAACTCACGTTAACAATTCAATTAACTGATACTCACGAGCCACTTGGTCTTTATCTAATTCGTCCTGAAAATCACGGATAAACGCAATGAATTACGATAAAAAAAAACGCAAAATTTCATTCGAAACGTACCGACATTCTGGCGAGTAGCTGGCCGTTACCTTTGCTGGATCGTAACTGACATAAATTTGAAAATTTTAATGGAAGATTATTCAGGAACTCAAACTATATAAAACCGTGAGATCTTAAAATAGAAGGCGGACAAGTGAGTTAGAACAATATTTTAATTTTTGCTAAACAGCTGTTGATTACACAAATTTCAACAGATGCGTACCACGAAGCTGGGATTTCAAGCGTTCATTTAGCATTGATAAAGAATTACTATTAAAGTTACTATATATATACCAAATCACCAAATAAATTCAAATTACTAACAAATAATTGATTTCCAGCAATTTCACGTTTGTTGTAGTCTTTTGATTTGTGTCGATGTCAAATAAGAGCAGTTAAAAACTATTTTAATTTGAAACGTTTTTGCAGTGTCGGTGGTATCTTTCCACAGAGTGTTCCATAGTGTTCTGTTAAGGCGATTTGAAAAATCGGTTTTGATTAGTCGTAGAAAATTATGCACCAGTTAAATTTGTATCTAACATATGTAGACTTCTTTGGATTGCTAGTCCAGATCGGTTTTCACATTCCTTTGTGGGCAGTATTCCACCTACCACCTCCAATTGTAGTTGTAGTAAGATGGATGTCAATGGTCTATCACCAACTCCGTTTGCTTTAGCTTTGAATTGAATTGAATAATTAAATATTATTGAACTGTGCTGGCTTTTACTTGACGACAATCCATTTAACAAAGTAAATAAGAACTAGAAGTTCAGATTTTCAAGAAATTATATATATTCACATGACAATTGTTTCGACAACACCGTGTCTTTATCAAATATAATATTTGCAAACCACATTCTACTATATATACCGAAAAATGACAATAAAACCTTACTCATTGTTGTGAGAATTTAAGTTTAATAATGGAGAGGTATCTAAATCTAATTGATCGTTAAGCAATACATTTGAATGTCTCATTTAGTTAATCTCCATGGCTTCCAATAAATTAAATTTTCTACTTTTTGTATTTTCGTCAAAAATGTTTTTTTCTGTGTTTAAGTGTGTAGCATAATTAGAATCTAGACTATTGTTTTTAAACGCTCTTTTATGTTTGTAAATGCGTTCCTTGAAGGATCTACCTATTTGTCCAATATAATTTTTTGGACAAGATCCGCATTTCAACCTGTAGGCACCTCATTGTTGAGATTTTGGGCATTTCGTTTTATTATTTTTTAAAAATTGTGTTGTTAGTTCTGAAAGCGATTTTTAAACCACATTTTGACAAATGTTTTCGAACTTTTTCACTGGGTTCTCGTATGTATATAATTGCTTTAAATTGTTCGTGTTGTGTATTAGGTTTCGGATAAATAGAGTTTACTGTTGTGTGGATTTGTTTTTTATTTATAATTTTATCGATAATGGACGGATTGTAGCCGTTCAGTGCAATTTGTTTAATGTTATGTATGACTGTGTCCGTGTGTGAAGGTTTATGGTAAATGGAAAAATCTAATTTGTTTTGCGTTTTCCTAGTAGTTAAGTCTAAAAAATTAATAGAGTTATCCTGTTCAATCTCGATAGTGAATTTTATAGTTAATGTAATTAAAAAAAAATCAATTGTCTGTTCGTTCAAACAAAGCAAGCAAAGACATCATCCAAGTATCTATACCACCATAGAAAAGTTTTACTTACTTACTGTTCTAGTATGATATTTTCCAAATTATCCATAAAAATCTTGGCTAACAAAGGACTAAGTGGGTTGCCCATAATCAAACTTTCCTTAGAGATGTAAATCTGTCCATTAAGTTCATAATAATTTTGGTCTAAAGATACTATTAAGGAATCTAATAAATCTTGTTTCACCAATGGGTTAACCTGTTTCCGAGTGAGGATGAAATCTACTAAATCTATCAGATAGACAATAAAACAACAAATAAACAATAAAACGACTTGTCCAAAATCTCAAAAATCAGGTGTCTACAGGTTCAAATGCCGATCTTGTCCTGAAAATTATATTGGACAAATAGGTAGATCCTTCAAGAAACGCATTCACGAACATAAAAGAGCGTTTAAAAACAATAGTCTACATTCGAATTATACTTAAACTCAGTAAAAACACATTTGTGATGACAATTTTGATATTTTACTTAGAGCCACAAAAAGTAGAAAATTAAATTTATTGGAAGCCATGGAGATTAATAAAATGAGACATCAAGTGTATTGCTTTAAAATTAGATTTAAATTACTCTCTCAATTATTAAACTTAAATTCTCACAACATTAATTAATGTTTTATTGTCATTTTTTGGTATATATAGTAGCAGGTAGTGTGTAAATATTACATTTGATAAAGACACGGTGTTGTCGAAACAATTGTCATGTCATAATATATAATTTCGTGAAAATCTGAACTTTTAGTTTTTATTTACTTTGTTTCGGGTATTGTTTTAGGTACTGTTATTGTTTTGCTTTCAGTTTCGTTTTTTTAAATATTTATTTAAATATTTATTATGTATTTTACTTTTCTTAGGCTATGCTTAGTGAATTAATTTTGTAGTGTATTGTGGAAGGTGTTCCCGACTGTCGACAGACTAAGCTGACCTGTTAAAGTGGCACTTTGCACACGCCTGATCAGCGGATAATTGGATATTGTAGAGTGGTAACTGATGATGATAATTCTGATGAACAATTTTTAAAATCACTTATTCCATTTCAAATGGAATCTGGTATTAATTAAAAAACAGCTATCAGAACTGTAAAATGTCACAATACTTACCTTAACCATATAAAATTCTAATATTCATTCTTTCGATCTGAACAAAGTAATTGATTGTTAGCCACTTCCTTCAAAATCGCAAAAAGACTATTTATTAAGTAAAGGAAACAGAAACAGAAAGATTCATTTTTTTCTCTTACGATGTACTCCCCTTTTATCTAGCAATACATGTTGTGGCCTTTTCAACTCTATTATTCTCTTTTTTTTATTGTGTAGTTATTTAAGTGAGTAGAGATAGCTTCCATTCATTTATTTTTTCATCATCTTCATCGTGTTCAAGCAGATTTTGTTAATTAAATAATTACATTACTTATTCCTATTTTCAGAACTGAGCCACAAGATCTTGTGTCTTAAATAATTACTAAGTTCACGTCTCTTCTTCATAGACTTCTAAAACCATAATCCCTTCAATTTGTGATCAAAGTTTTTCACGAGTCGCAAAGATCATCTATAAGCGGCAGGTTATTTTTTTTGGGATTTCACTCAGGTAAGGTTGCGTTATACTGTTTTTTTCCAGGATGTAGATTGTTGGTTGAAAATTAATGTTAATTTCAATGCAATATGAGTAAACGTTACCACATATGTAGCAAATATTGTCTGCAGCAAGCGAAACCCAATTACAATATGCATTAAATTTTCGACGGACAACAAAAAAGAAAAGAATTTTATTGACAATAATAACCAAAGTTTACAGCAATTTTCAAATAAGAAAAAATGAACATCAGTGAAGTAAAGTAGTTCAGGTTATTAAAGGCAAAGAGAGATTAATAATTCCGCTAATCCAAAGAAATTAAAAAATATGTTATACATGGAAATATTTATTTTATATATATATATATATATATATATATATATATATATATATATATATATATATATATATATATATATATATATATATATATATATATATATATATATTCTCACGTATTGATTCACGGATGGAAAAATGTGATGACACTATACTCCGGGATATCATCCGTTCGCTCGTTGAACTCCGACTGGAATCCTGCATCCGACTGGAATCCTGCAAATCCTGCATCCGACTGGAATCCTGCAGACGTTTCGCCAAAATCTCACTTGGCATCTTCAATGCTCGCGCTCCGAAAACACTTCGAACAGTGTATATATATATATATATATATGATGACACTATATTCCGGGATATCATCCGTTCGCTCGTTGAACTCCGACTGGAATCCTGCATCCGACTGGAATCCTGCAAATCTTGCATCCGACTGGAATCCTGCAGACGTTTCGCCAAAATCTCACTTGGCATCTTCAATGTTCGAAGTGTTTTCGGAGCGCGAGCATTGAAGATGCCAAGTGAGATTTTGGCGAAACGTCTGCAGGATTCCAGTCGGATGCAAGATTTGCAGGATTCCAGTCGGATGCAGGATTCCAGTCGGAGTTCAACGAGCGAACGGATGATATCCCGGAATATAGTGTCATCACATTTTTCCATCCGTGAATCAATACGTGAGAATATATATATATATATATATATATATATATATATATATATATATATATATATATATATATATATATATATACTCACGTATTGATTCACGGATGGAAAAATGTGATGACACTATATTCCGGGATATCATCCGTTCGCTCGTTGAACTCCGACTGGAATCCTGCATCCGACTGGAATCCTGCAAATCTTGCATCCGACTGGAATCCTGCAGACGTTTCGCCAAAATCTCACTTGGCATCTTCAATGCTCGCGCTCCGAAAACACTTCGAACACTCGAAGTGTTTTCGGAGCGCGAGCATTGAAGATGCCAAGTGAGATTTTGGCGAAACGTCTGCAGGATTCCAGTCGGATGCAAGATTTGCAGGATTCCAGTCGGATGCAGGATTCCAGTCGGAGTTCAACGAGCGAACGGATGATATCCCGGAATATAGTGTCATCATATATATATATATATATATATATATATATATATATATATATATATATATATATATATGATGACACTATATTCCGGGATATCATCCGTTCGCTCGTTGAACTCCGACTGGAATCCTGCATCCGACTGGAATCCTGCAAATCTTGCATCCGACTGGAATCCTGCAGACGTTTCGCCAAAATCTCACTTGGCATCTTCAATGCTCGCGCTCCGAAAACACTTCGAACACTGTGTTTTCGGAGCGCGAGCATTGAAGATGCCAAGTGAGATTTTGGCGAAACGTCTGCAGGATTCCAGTCGGATGCAAGATTTGCAGGATTCCAGTCGGATGCAGGATTCCAGTCGGAGTTCAACGAGCGAACGGATGATATCCCGGAATATAGTGTCATCACATTTTTCCATCCGTGAATCAATACGTGAGAATATATATATATATATATATATATATATATATATATATATATATATATATATATATATATATATATATATATATATATATATATATAAATGAGGAAAACAATACCGAAATTTTTACGGTGAATTTGGATAGCGATATGATACGATATAAAGCTTAATTTTATCAAGAACTCCAGGAAAAGCAGCTTTTCTAAGCAGAATATTATAAAATGTATGAAGCACGTATATCCACTCCATAATCAGCATAGCAAGTAATTAGCATCCTTTAAAAAGTTTTGCTCGACCAACAGAAAAGGGCTTTTGTGTTCACCATAAAAGAAAGAACAGACACAAGAGCACACCATTATCCATATCATTAGAAAAGTGAAGACGTGAATCCATGGCTCTAGATCTTTCATATTTGAAACATCAGAGGATATGTTGGCCAATTTTATAATCAGATTTTATGGGGGCCCTTGATCTAGAAAAGGAAATTACTATGCAATTTGAAGAGTTAAGATCTATGCCCTTTCTATCACATTCATAATGCTGTTAATGATGCTGAATTGTAAATTGTCAGAATCATAATGTGATTTACATATAGTTTATTTATTAAACTCAATGTAATAGAAGATATGTGGGGTCTACATTTAGATTAAACAAATGAAATTCAATAGATATATATTGTAGAATACAATTAATCAAACTATATTTCGAGCAATGGTGGGTTTGGTTTCTGACCCCGAGAATTTGATATATCTTATTTCGATAAATTATCGGTAGCATTGTTCAAACGATACAGGTAAAAACGGTTAATTCATGAATTATTTATTTGAATCGACGCACGCTTTGAATAAATAAACGAGATTTATAATATAATTAGAAATCGAGTCCTGTACTGTCCAGACCTGTTAACAATGTGAGCAATTAACTCGATATCGCATGTAATGGAAGTCACGTGGATTTGGACCGTTTTATATCTATTGACTGGCTGCCTGCCAAAACACATATAAACGATCGGATTCAGAAGTCCGCTCAGCGTTTAAATTAAATCGCAGCCGAGGCGGGATCGCCCATGCGAATGTTAATTTAATGCGTACCCCGGATGTCTGGGTTTCTACTCCTCGGTTTCTATTAGTGTTGTTTTCGCGCAATCATCCCAAATTTACCATTAGGCGTTGTTATTGTTTGCCTTCTTTGCAGACTCAAAGGAATATAGGTGAACTCTTTTTTTAACAACCGTTTGCCAAATTTATTCAATTTCAACGCGAAATAGCGAATGTAAGCGTATAATGAGTTGCATATTATAAGTATAATGTTTTCGCAGGATTGGAGGAAGACAGTACATGATTTATTTAATTGGAATACAATTTTATACAAATATACATACAAATTCAAGTTACCACCAGATATTGTTATTGTCTTTATTGCAAAATATGCAGAATGCCTTTTCTTGATTGACTAAATTTGAACTTGTTGCAGTGAGCAATCAAGAATTGCTGGTTGCATATCCCGAATACAACGTTTTGATCCAAGTTAGAAAAAAGTGTGTTTTATTAAAGAAATGATGTTATGATCTAATGATTTAATGATCTTAAAAAGCTATTTTTTTATGTTTTGAATATTGCGTAAAATATAAAATTATTGCTCGGGCATTTTTCGCATCTATTCGTCAATATTTTTACTCAATATTTTTCATTGAGGGATTCCTTTTTTACTACTCTTAAATCAAAAATATATTATTGTATTTGTACTGGAGCCTAAACAAATTTTAAAGCACAAAAAACCATTCCATTTTTCGTAGCCAAAATTAATATAATTATAAAAACCGCTATTTGTATAGGCATAAACAACTAAGATAAAATAAGTCTATTTTGTAAACCTTGTAGATATGCTAATGTAAGAAATTTATGGGTTTACTTCTTGTTATTCTTTTTTTTTTGCTTTCGTTCCTTTGAGCATTTAATTTCATTTCTTAATTTTATTAATTCTGAATGTATTCATTTTTGCATAGAATTATCTTTCGATATTATTATTTTTTTAATTTCGTTTCATTTCGTTTCTGAAATTGTGGAAAATTTATATGGATATATTGTCAACCTCTCAGTTTTTTGGTTTACAATTTATTTAAATATTTCTTTTTTTCGGAAATTATTTATGGTTAAATGTTGTTCCATTTATTATGTTTGTGGAATTTTTTATTATTTTGTCACTGATCATATTCATTTAAGCATGAAATTAAATTCAAACATCATATATCATATATTTGCCGCGGAATTACATGTTGCTGTGGATGTAGGGTTGATAACTATCTCTTCGTTCACGCGGGTGATGAGGAGGGGAAGGCGGGGCTTCGTATATATTTTCGCTAACTTCGTTAGAATGGATTGGATCGTTAATCAATTCCCTGCTCAAAGGATTTTGATAGTTTTTGCATCGCCTATATTTCGGCGTCAGATACCCGTCCGAATTCGTGTAAACCGATAACAAAGTATTCCTTTTCGTATAATCCGGCATGACCAAAAATTCTGGAGCAGACTTATTTTTCACCAGTATCACCCTTTTGTTACCCTTGATAAGCTCGGGATGTTGACGCACTACAAAGTAAACGATTACACTGGCACAGACGACCCCCAGCAGAACCGAGACCACTAGGACGATTATGGCGTACATCATGTCGTTGTTGGTTATCCAGGCCCTTTTGCCCCATTCAAGAGCAATATTCAACGCAGTACATTCTTTATTGGTCAGGGCGAATATGTCCACGGTATCGTTGTTAGCCAGGCATATCGTGTAGGTGCTCTCGTATTGCAAATCCATGTAAATGTCTTGGTCGATTTCATACACGCACCCGTAATCTGACAGGTTCGCCGTGTTAGTCCAAATTAAAAAGTCATTACGTTTTACAATTCCTTGCAACGTCACGACCACTGTCGAGGAGTCCTGGACGTGATATAACGTATAGTCAATATTTCGGCTTTTAAACGCGGCTTCTTGGAGAAATATTTTATTAGTACTTCTCAATTCTGCAAAAGGATATTTGTTAACGCTTCTACAAAGGATTTGGCTAAACTTGTAATCAATGGAATCCGAATCCATTATAGTGGTAGACGTAACCTCAGCGTGCGAGTCGGGAGTGGGCGTAGTTATGGAGTCTGTAGCGGTTGCCACCGGAGTGGAACTATTAGGACAAAAGTCGACATCTTTGAAGTTAACCGATTCACACATCAGCGGGTTCGTGTTATTTCTAGCGAGGAGATACGTCTTAAACCACTGCAAGTCGCAGTCGCATCTCCACCGATTATCGTCAACCCACACTTTGTTGTCTATCGAATTGATATTCTTTAGTAACCCGTTTGGAAGGGTTTCGAGTAAGTTCGAAGTAAAGTCGATTTGCCTCAACCTCGAACCTAGTCCGGCGAAGGCGTCTACTTCAACCGAAGTAATCTTGCTGTCGCATAGGACTATTTGTTCCAGAAAGGGAACGCTAAAGAACATTTTGTCGGTTAACTTGGTGAATGTATTGTACCGTATGTCTAAAGTTCTCAGCGATGATAACGTGGTGTTTGCCGCTGTTATATTCCTTAAAGCGTCGATATCATCCAACAGGTAATTAAATTGAAGCGTTTCGAGGTAAATAGCCGTGGGACCGAAAACATCATTTTCCACCGTGATGCCTCGTTTCGATATAGACTGCATTTGGATCACTTGGATTTTGGAAGCGACAAACGTACTTCTCTTTAAACTTCTAATATTCGAATCGAGGATCGTGAGTGTTAAATATCGGCTACTAGTTGTGAACGGTTTTCCCTCAAACGCATTTTCTCCTAGATTCGAGAGATTAGGGGTGCTGATTATTAATTCGAATACGTCATCATCCAAACTGTTAAGCCAGCCCGCGCGCATCGTGTTGTTGGGAAATAAGACGTTGACCAGCGTCAATTTGATTTCCCCGTTACATTGAACATCCTGAAAATAACAATAATTTTACCACGATTATTGTAATAAAACATCGTAATTTATTCCAAAAATTTTGAGTTAGTAAACTCACATTGGCAATTGAAGTACAAAAATGCTTTCCTTTGTTTTGCTGACATTGTTATTCTAATGTTAACAGAGCTAAGAGAATGATCTAACTACTAAATTAATAAGGTAAAATTTGGAAACCAAAAAACGAAAATGAAGAAAAAATGGCAACCATTGAAAAAACTACCAAAATACACATAATGGGAAGATCGGTCAACCCGTTAATGTGATTCTTTCTTTGAAAATATTGACACTTATTGCGCAATTTTACTTACAAAATAGATATGTTTATTTATAAAACTCTAAGTTTTTCACTTGGTTCACCGAAATTTGCTACTAATTGTTTTGTTAGGTTACACGTTTAATGTTAATTTTGTAAAAGCGGCATAGATACTTTTTTTTCTACTCTCGTCTGTAAAATTGCCAATTATACACCGATCTAGCGTACGGGAAGAGTCACTTTACCACGTCCGTTTCGTTTCCCACAGACGGGAACCACTTCGGATATTTTCGGGATTTTACCGCACGATTTTGGAAGTAATCGGATATTTTCGAAGATTTTACCGCACAGTTTGAATTTTGACGTTTGTCAATTCTGACGGTCATGTATTAGGGTTGTTTTGCAAAAATGTACCCAAAAAACTAATACACAGAAAATGTTATGCAATATATCAGACAATTTATATACTATTAGCTATAATTAAAATATAGTAGACTAGTCGGTAAGTAAAGTGACATATATAATTTAAGTTTCCCACAGAAATTTTACATACTGTTCACATGAACTTTAGTCGTTGTTAAGTTTTTATATTAATATATTATATATATTATTAATATGTATTAATACCAATTATACCAATTGTACTATTTTCAAATATCCATGTCTCATCAGTACAAACAAAACAAAATTGAAGGTTAGGACCTGACAATTAGTTTGTGACCTTAATTTTTTAATCATTTTATACAATTAATAAAATTGAAAATATATAGCACTATAAGAACATTTTTGGTGCCAAAAAAGATAAAACTTCTACTTCACAAGGTAGAGAAACTTTCATTTGGAGTGAAATACGTGAAATTATGTCCGTGTTATATGCAAATTTGGAATTTTGGCATCTTTTGAAACTCATGAATAATTCTAAAACCAATGAAGAATGACGTTTTTTTCAGAATGAAACAAAAAAAAAAGATAATTGATTTTTTAAAAATACCAACCAAGTCGAAAATATTTTTGTCTATTATCCAATTAAATATAAATTTGTCAATATTTAATTTAATTCTGAGAATTCAAAGCCATTTTTCATTATTTATATATCCTTGGCATTTCATTCCTGAATCTCAATTTTGTCATCCCAATTTTGTTGATTAAAACTAATAGTGGTTGATGTTGCTTCTTGGAAGTTAGTATATTGACAATAAGTTAATTTCGCCGCGGAAATAAGAAATTCGCTTTAAATGTTGGTCGATATCATAATTGGTAACATTGTTTCTCCAAATTTTTAATATTTTTTACTCTTAGTACCTATATTTAAATCTTGACTAACAATTAATTCAATCCACGATCATCAGTCAGTTTATGTCAACAATAACTATTTTCTATTTTAACACAATTTGAACTAATATTTAAGGGTTATAACTAATTAATAATAACGATATAGCATAATTTTTTTCTATATATTTTTAGTCTTCATGAAGAAGCCCATATTTTTTTCGGCAACTGAAAGTTAGATTAAGCACCCGATATATTTTATTGCTTATATATAACCTATCAAAGAATTACCAAAAAAGAATGTTCGTATTGTGATTTGTCGTGATATGCTTAACACTATCCCGTTAATGTTTTCACTGTTCATAATTTTTTTATGACTTACCTTTGTAATATAATTAATCGTTTCGGCTACTGTCGTTATATCTACTTCGCTGCACCGCACTAAACAAGTTTCCGTCATTTCACAACCTTGCGCACTATCAGACTGTTTGTGCCTAAAAGTTGGTTGACTTTTTTCAAACACCTGACTAGATACCTGCGCAGTACCGTTGGTGGCTACAGAGTTGCCGTTACCATAATACAATATCTGCGCAATCACCGCGATAGCGAATAACACGCAGAAAGCACATATAATTACGTTTATTAGGTTCGGCTCTAGTTTGTAAGATTTCCTTGCTTCGAAAATGCTAAAAAATACGTAACCAATTAAGAACCTGAAGTAAGTAATATAATGTAAGTAATGTCGCTTACTTTTGGGTTGCGAAAACGTACTTCATGTTTCCACAAATGCGTACGTGAACTTGACGGGTAACATTGAAATTCAATGCCAAACATTTTGCGTTATTCCGCCATTCCTATACAAGTCATGAAATATATTTTGAGCTCATAAGTATTTCCAAAGCCGAACCGCTTCCGACATATGTTCGATAATCTCTTTGATAATTTTGTGTTAATGAAATAGATTTGCAAGATAAAATTTTGCATTGCGATTTCACCTTGATTTATACACGACATAAATAACTTTCATCGCACATCACTGTAAATTTTATTGTTCTTGGTTTACTTCGTTTATTTATTAGTCCATACAAAAAATTAATTCCTATTGGTATCTAAGGATTTTGATTATGTATATTGGCAAAAAAAATCTTTAAAATCAAATCTTTTTAGAAATTGGTATAACGGAATATTGACAAGCAAATTATTCAATTAATTAATGAGAAAGATTTTTAACTTTGGGGTTTTTAACCAAACTACTTCTTCGACATCACTATTTTTTTGTTAATATAATATCTATTTAATTTTCAACTTAAATAATTTCAATAAATTGAATCAAGAAGAAAATCACAAGTAATTGTAATTTTTGATGTCGATTCGAAAATAAATTAAAGGATATTGCACTTCATTTCCTGTGTACCAACATTCTTTTTAATTTGCTTTTATTTGCAAACATCCTCTAAAAGGTTTTTGAATTTAGCATCTTCTTCCAAACTTTTTATTTACGATTGTCCAAACAAAAAATCAAATCGGAATGGTGATTTTATATTATGAGTTCGGTCCTGGACACCAGACGATGCTAAAGAATAACCTAGATATCTTTAGATGATTGGCATACCAAACCTTCAAATAAAACCAAGAAGTTCGTCTGTTCTATTTTGTACTTCCCTGTTAAAATCCCCCTCCCAGACTTGTGCAGAATAGACATGAACAAGAGACCCAAACTGCAGAAAGTGCTGTCCTTTCTCGAAAGTTTTGATAGCGGTGATGGTAAAGTAAATATGGTAAATAACTTATTCAAATATTTTACTTCAGTGTTGTGTATATTTTTTTTTTAAATTAAAACAGTAGTGCTACGTGCCGTAAAAATGTTCAATGAACGAATTAAGTCAAATTCGTGTTTTTAATTTTCGCGTTGTATCCAAAATAAAATTAAAATTAATTCCATAGTTGGTAACCAATAAACTATTTACATTTGCAGGAAGATTTAGATAAAGAGCAGCTTTCTAGTAAGTATTAGCAAACCTCTATCCACTGAAAGATGTACATCAAAAAACAATGCCGTTCTAGTGCTCAAAACCACATTCGATGCGTTTGATGTCGATAAGAAAGGATATATCGGAACGGACATGATTGGAACCATTATGGATATGTTGGGTACGCAGTTAGCTGGAAGGGAATTGGAGGTAAAATAGCAATACAAAGTTAGAAAAGTTGCTAAATTTTGTTATAAAACTCCAGAAAATTTATTTGTTTTAGAGAAAACCGAATTTCGAATAATCAATTTAAACTGATTCAAAAATTGCAGGCTGTCATCAGCGAAATTGACGAAGATGGTAATGGTGAGGTCAGTTTTGAAGAGTTTGCAAATTTGGCTGCGAGATTTTTAGTCGAAGATGACGAAGACACGGATGCCATACACGTGGAACTAAAAGGTGCTTTTAGGCTCTACGACAGAGAAGGTAAGGCCATCAAATATAGAATACAACTATGTAAAAGTATCACTGCCGCGTGCTGCTTGCTTTTTACAATGGTTATAACAATATCATTATTTGTTTTTTTCTCAATTCCAACTGACCTCTTTGCATTATTCGCGACAAACCTTGTTCTATTTTGGAAAATGTAAATAGTGAAATACTATCTAACCGACAGTTAAAATAAAGCAAATTTTTTAGCGGTGTGAGCAGCCAACATTTTCAATAATCTAAACGCATTCGGACATTTTTAGAAACATTGTTTGTGAACGTTTCATATTCCGCAAACTTATGAAACTTAAATGCAATGTAATGAATGTAAAAGTCGATTAAAAAATATATCATCGCCCATAAATAAACAATTTCCGAAAGCAATAACAACCACTATTAAGTTTTGCCGGTTTTTTATATTTAATTTTTTTTGAGTATTAATATCAATTTTTTAAATTTTATTTTTAAATTAATTCATTTTTTGATAATGCGTTATATATTGATAACGCGCTCGTTTAAAAATTGATACAAATAATTTGAAGAGATTTTTCAAAACATCGTCGATTTACGAAATAAAAAATGTATTCCTATCATTTGCACCATTCGAAATACTCTCTACACTTTGGATATTTTTTTACTATTTTTATTTATGTAAAAAAAAACTAATTATCCTGAGTCCCAGGATCCTTAAATGGGGAAAAAAATGGGTTTAATTTTTTTGTGATTGTTAAGATGGTATTGTTATATTCTTAACAAAAGGTTTCTCTGATATTTTTATATAGCAATTTGTATTAATTTAACGATTAACCATTATAGGGCTTTTTCTTTTCGACCTTAATTATACCATTTGATTCTTATTAAATAAATAAATGCTATAAACAATAAATAAGGTTATTCTTACCCAATGCTAGAAAAAATAAACCATAAAAATTACAGAGCAGCGCTGCATCTATAAAAATGAGATAATAAATTAAATGTTGGATCTTAAAAACTAAATTAATTTTCTTCCTTAGGAAGCGAATTTTTTACCTCTTAGCCAACCTATATGTCTTTTTTTTTTTCAAAGTACCGTAATTAGGTTGACTATTTTTGACTAAAGTTTTGAAGATTTATTTTTCTGCCTTGTGACAAATTGTCCCTGCCTAGATTTGTACGAAATTCCTCTAAACTAAATTATTTCTCTGATGATATATAAACAAACACATTCTTAGGCAATGGATTTATAACAATCGAAGTGTTGAGAGAAATATTACGGGAATTGGATGAAAAATTAACGGAAGACGATCTGGACAACATGATTGATGAAATAGATACGGACGGCTCTGGCACCGTCGACTGGGAGGGTACGTATGAAATATCACTTGGCACGTTGAATTGAGAATGTAAATCAAGACCACAAGTAAAATTATAAATTCAGTTATTTATCGAATGCTCCCTTTGTCAAGCCATTAGAATAAATTTATTAATAGTGACACCAGAGTCTTAAGCTCAATTTACACAAGCAGTGTCAATATCTTTTTTTCCTTTGGTTCCGCTACTGTGTTAATGTTGAAAATTTTTCAAAATAAATAAGTAGGCGAATATGTGATATAGATATCAATGTTCTAACACCTCTATTTACACATTAAAAGATAGATTTTTACGTTTTAGGTGATTATTGTAGATTCGACTTTGAGTTTTATATTTTGGTTTGTTAAATAAATAAAATGCTTTACATGGTTGCTTTTGGTTTTGTTGGTTTTTACTATGTTGTTATCGGTAAAGCATCTATCGAATTTTGTATTATTTAATTAATAACTTAAGTTATCTTTTGTAAAAAAAGTGGATTTTTTGTGGTATTTTTTCCAAAAGTAATAAAACTTAAACACTAAAATTGCATCGTGTGAAATAAGCTTTGCGTATGTAACTGTGGGGTAAATTTATTGGCAATTGTCTGAGTTTTTCGGATAATTTGAATTTAATCAGATTTGTGTTCAAGACACTCAAAACAAACAAATTAAAAAGAAATTGAGGAAGGTAATTTTTCGTTTTGTCGAGTCTCATTCCTGTGGTATAATATTATTTCCCAGTAACCACCGTCTGTAATAATCCAATTTTTTAACATAGGATTTCCATTTCAGAATTTAAAGCAGTAATGATTGGTTAAAATATTTTAAAGAGCCGAGATATACCGAAGCAGTAGGACTGTATCCATTCTATTCATAACATTATCCCATTATATTCGTTACTTATCCCGAAATATTGTAGTTTAGACTTTTCCATTGTTTTTTACAGTGACTTGTGACAAATAGTTAAATAAATATGCGAGATTAATTAATTCGTAGTTTGTTTTACAGGGTGGTTCGTAATAATAATCCGTAATTCCAAATGTAAGCATAAAAGTTCACTGAATTGTAATGAAGATCAATTCAAATTGATTTTCAATAACAAATTTTAGAAATTTTATTTTCTGGAAACTACCCATAACGTAATATGCCGTATATCCAAATTAGGCTCGCACCTTCAGTCCAAAGGACTGTACATTATTTGCCAAACTTTACTCATCGGTATATGTGTTTATTGGCACAAATGTACGCGCGTAACGCAACTAAATGTTTGGTATTTCGTTAAGGACATGACCCTTTCTCACCTGCGATGTGATGATAAACTTATGTTCGTTTATATATAAAAGAAGGGTTTATCGAAACTGTTATGACATATTGGTGTCAGTTTTGTATTTGAACGATACCAACGCGTACCAGTAGAAATGGCAGACGCTGCTCCCACTGAAACAGCTGAAGTATGTATTTTCATCCAGAGTGTATTTAGGTAATTAATAATTTTATTATTATTTTATCCTTTTACCAGAAAACGGAAGAGGTAAGATGGAAGTCAGAAATAAAAACTTTTAGTGCGAATTGTTAATTATTTTCGTATTTTAGAGCCCAAAGAAACCAAAGGTGAGTAATTTTTGTGAACAGCGTTTTTCTAATTACAAATTTGACTCTCAGTTCAAACTATTTCCAAATACGGTTGCCTAATTGCTAAGGGTTGTGGGTTTACCCGTATAAAGAGACCTAATTGAAATTAAAAAATTAAGTGTATACTCAAAAATTACAAAAAAAAGTTCTAGAACATTTCCGAAGAAAACAAAGTAACTACAAAATTTTCGATTTCACATTAAATCGTGAAAATGAGATAAATGGCAAAAATCTTTAATCAGTCAATAGAGTTAAAAATACAAAAAATTTGGATCGCACTTGTATAATGTCTAGTAAGAGTTCATCATTGAGGGGGTTCAAAAAAAGGTTTCTGGCGTATACGTAGTTGTAAATCTTTAAAAAATACTCTTATGCTGTTTCATACAGATCTATGATTCATTTGTATGAATGTATTAAATTTAAGTCCACTTGACAAAGAAGAAAGCAACATGTCCGGATAGATTTATATTACAGGTGAAATAATATTGAGCATGAAGAACGTAACTGAATTTTATTCACTCTGACACAAGATCACGAGGTCAACACTAATCTAAAGTTATTGAGGGCTGTCTTATACTATTTACTTTTTTGTATCTCGTTTGTAAAAGTACTTGTATTCCAAAAAAAAAATACAATTTTTACAATCTTACTAAGAGGTGCTTGACCTAGAATTTGGAAATAAGTTATTAAAATCCGTCCTAATTTTTTTTTTAAATATCGACATAAAAGCAGCTTGTTGTTTTAGCTGGTTAGTGAATATTATAGGTAATCATAAAATGATATACATATTTCGCAATGTATATCTTTTAAAAGTACTTAAATAAAAATTTTAAAAATTGATTAATATTTTTTTTGCTTAGTTTATTAATATTTATTATTTTATGAGAATTATTGTTATCGTTATTTTGGTCAGGTTATAAGGAGTCGTTTGTTGTTTACATTATTATTAAGCAAAAGTGTTTTGGCAATTGCATCGCCTTGGCAAATAAAAACCGAGCTAAAATTAACAGTCATTTGTGCGCCCAATTTTATTACCTAATTAATTTGATGACGATTGATTGACAATTTTATAAATGAAGGTTCCGATCGATAGTTTGACCAAATTGTTGTTTTGTTTGTGCCTGTAAGAGTTTTGACAATAAGCGTAATGGTAAGTTTGTTGTGCGAATTGCGATGTTTTTATTTTCCCATAATTTTTGTGAATATTTTAATTTTTCTAATTACATCTTACGATATATTCTAAAATTTATTTTTGTTTCAGGCCCATGCTGAGGTAGGTTTGTTTTATTTATTTATTGCTTTGGTTTCTAAATTATTCGTTAATTGGGTCATTTTTTGTTTTTTGTTTGGATTCGCATTTTCTAAAATTTACGTTCATTTAGGAGGTTAATATTGATTACGAATCTCTGAATCACCTGGACATATCGAGGGAGCAATTGAAAAGTAACTTCTATAAATAAGAAAAAGTGCTTTTATTAAATTCGAGCGTCTTGCAGTGCTGAAGCATATTTTTGACTCGTTCGATCTGGACAAGAAGGGTGAGATTGGAGTTGATATGATTGGACAAATCTTGGATATGTTAGGTCATCAACTTAGCCCAGAAGAATTAACAGTAAGTTTTAACACTTTCTTTACCAGAATACATTTTTTCAATCTTACATATTTTCTCGACATTTTGAGGGCTCCAATTTATTTTAATTTTTAATTCATCTGAGAGGTCTTGAAATTGAGTCCTTTTTCTATTGGAAACATATAAATAAATAATATATATATATATATATATATATATATATATATATATATATATATATATATATATATATATATATATATATATATATATATATATATATATAATAATTAAGGAGTTTGTTGTGTTCATAATTAGTAGAAAGTTTTCACGTTTGTAAACGTTTGATGAAACATATTTGTTGTAGAAAATTATTTCGGAAATTGACTCTGACGGAAACGGAGTGATGAGTTTCGAAGAGTTCGCTCACTTGGCCGCGAGGTTCGTGGTTGAGGAGGAGGAAGATGTCGAGGCCATTTTGAGGGAACTTAAAGACGCGTTTAGGTTATACGACAAAGATGGTGCTCCAGTTTTGTTTTTTTTATTTGGTCTTTTAAGCAAATAGTGTATTCGTAGGCCTAGGATACATCACCGTGGACTTACTAAGAGACATTTTGAAGGAACTAGATGACAAACTGACCCCGCAGGATCTTAACGAAATGATTAAAGAGATTGACACTGACAATTCCGGTACAGTTGATTGGGAAGGTAGATTAAATTGTTTTGAGATATCTGACTTGCTAAAGTGGATTAATTTTCTAGAATTCAAAGCTATGATGATTGGTTAGTATCAATCACCATCTAAAGGGACTCTGTAAAGACTGAATAAATGGGTTGATGAATTTCGTTCACCAACATTATTCATTAAATTAATGTAAATGGAGAAAAGTAAATTTAAGATTTGTTGTTTATATGTTTTATTTTGCCATAACTTATAGGGTTCTTTACCTACAAGTGGCGCAATCCAATTTTAGCAGGTTTTTTTAAATAATAAAATAATTTGAAATAAAAATTCGTAATCATTAGTAAGAACGTTATTAAAATGTTAATAAAAAGTTTCAAGTTTTCAAAGCACTCTATAAAGAAGACAAATATTCTGAATATTCGTTACAGGAATATATTGGGGTTAAAAAAAATTATCGCACTAGATTGTTTGCTTTATTTAATTACATCGAAGAAAGAAATCAAATTTTTATTTTGATTACTGCAGTAAACTTGTATTTGTAACTTTGTAACTGCAGATTTCTGAGCTACAAATTTTGAGATTTAACGCAAATGTCATGGATAAAATGTTTTTCTTTTTTATAATTTCGTATTATTAGATTGTGACAGAATGGTTCTTTTCAACCAGGTAAATATTAGACGCATATTTCTATACGTTGACAGGTATTGCAGTAAATATTGCTAGAAAGAACCAATAAATTATTTATTTATTTAAGTTAGTATTTAGAATCAAAATAATGTACTCAAATGGCAATTCCACTAGTAGAGCTAACCACTCGCCACCGCCGTAAAACTCTCGTCGGTCGTAGATTATTAATAGATATTTAATCTTGTTGGGCCTACGGGTACCACTTTCCGCAAAAATAATTTTATTTCGAGATCAGAAAGGTGTCACATTTTATATAAATGATTTGGCTTGAATCTCAATATTTTCAACTCGGGCTCTAGAAATGAATATATCACCATGTACATTTCTATGGAACTTGAATCTACTGGAATTTCTGGGAAAATTTAAGTATCTGCGCAATTTGAGAAAAAAAAGCGCTTCAGTGTCAGCATAAAATTTATTGATATCGACATTAATAATATAACTTGGATATAATATGACACATATCATTGCACAACAGCCATTTTCTTAATTTAGTAGGATATGAATAGTGCATATAATTTTGAATATTATTTTTCACAATATCTGGATACAATAAGTATTAAAAAATGAAGGGTCTGGTCCGCAGTCGCGTTGTTGTGTTGATAACGACCTGACACTAGAAAATTTAGAAAAATATTGTTTTCTTTGAGCTTATAACACGACAACACGAGAATAATGTTGAACCAGGACCGGATATGTCTTGAAATGGTCTGGCAGATGCCACTCTCTACAAATGGCCGCCGAAACATTGCCACAAAAATACCATTAACGAATTGCACCACTTACAACACAACTCGAACAAGGATATGTTAATTTTACCACAGACAGTCTGGATTTTGTAATGATATGTTTATATACGGCGCACAAGCCTTAATTAACTGAAATATTGCCAGGGTTAATTCGTTTTCCGAAGCCTTCATGCAAACTTTTGACGATCGAGTGTAATGAATTTTTATGGCAAATACGGGAAACTACGAACTACCTTTTTAGGTACTTGTAGAGCAAAAATTGCATGAAGAAGAACTGACTTACGAAATCCTAAATGTAAGTTTGGATCGTTCTAACGGTGGGATCGAGCAATACTTTTACAACTACACTAGAAAAATGTGTACATAGCGTTACACAATAATATACTAATACACCGATGTCACAAACATGATATGGATATCAAAGCTCAAATTTTGGGGTTAGTTCCCTTTTCAACCTAGCACGTTGATGAATCTAATGTATTTTCCTTAATTATGATAAATAGTTACGAAAATACCTTTGCGTAAAATGCCTACCTATTCCACCAGATATGTCTAGGCCTGTTTGTCCCAAATATTACCTCTTCATTATATTGGTGCGCGCGATTTATCACGATAAAGAAACAAATTTTAATCTCTGAAAAAAAAAGGCAGAGAAAAAAATTAAAAAATCGAAACGGTCTCAATGACACAGACTACACATAGACATCGAGATAAAGAACGACGAGAAAATTGGGACACGATTTTTGTGGTGGTTACATTATAGAATAAACAATCTATACTCTAAAGGGAAACTTGATATGTATGCGTTTAAATAAATTCGAATTTTTATTGAAGAGACACAATCACTTGCATATGTTAAGGAAAAACCGCAGCCTTGACAATAAAAATTCGAACGCGTATTTTTTTCGGTTCACTCTATATCATTTTAAACGAATCAGAGCAAACTCTGTCAACAATAATAAATGACATTTATAGAGAATATTAAATGTGAATCTCAAAAAGCACGAACACTAGACTAGAAGCAATTACATGCCCTATTTCTTTTTTGTTTTCTGCAACATAACGTACCTTAAAATACAAAACTATCGCTACTTATCACTATATCTCATCGTTTCAACGGACTAGACTCCAGGTTATATCGTTCCAAGTTTTTTTTTATGCAAACCTAAACCGTCCTCTACCAATTTAGCTTAATTCAGAGCAATTAATCAATCCTTTGTTGTTGCAACTCCTCCAAAATCTGGTGTAGCTTAGTTTCATCTCAAATTGGAAAAAATACATATCTAAATTATAAAACCAATTTTGATAACCACAACTACCCTTGCTGAGGGAAATCGGGTCAGTTGAAACGATTCATACACTAAGAAACAAATTTTGACGCGTCTGTCGCCTAATCATATTTTAACTAACCACTAAATAACTGACTAATGTACTAAAGGCTAAGGACAATGATGTTTCGACTGCCTTTCCAGCCCGATTGGGACTAACGATCTCGTACGATTTTATTTTACATTTCATTTTTTCTAACGGCAGACTGTCCAGAGTGTACTCCCTGTGTTCGTATTGCATCGTGCATACCGTCCGTTTCTTTTGCATCATTTCGTCGTCTTTGTCTTTCAAGTTTCGTAGCCAGTTCTTGTACCATTGCAGTTCGCATTCGCACAATAGAGGATTATCTAGAAAAGGTAAAGGTTAATTCTAGTTGCTTTTACTAACTTTGTTTTGGTAAAGCCTATCGTCGTGTGTATAATCCGCCTTTTGATTGAAAAAATGACATTGTTCTAGATGAATCACCTGCTTAATGCTTGATGGTATTATGGGCTACCCTTTTTCTTTTCCTGATTATTTGGTTCATCTGAAAGGCTCTGGCATTTGGCTTAAGTGCATCTGCACGTACTTTTAGCACATAAGCTCGAAGGAAATTTATATATAGAATATTTCTTTAATTTGATTTACCAAACCGCAACAGGCTTTCAATTGATTTTTGCGATAAGTTACTAAGAAGAAGTACATAATAATTAAAATTCAAAATTTCTTAAAAGTTGTTTAGATAATATGAAACCCTATTAACTTTAACTAAAGTCGCACCGTCCGAAGAAAATAATTTTAGAAAAACTCTTGCCATTACCATTCTTTCTTTCTTCCTTCATTATTAGCCTTTTTATTAGTCTAGCTAAATATAATCGATTTTGTTTAGAAATTTTAGGGTTTTATTAAAAAGTCGAATTTTTACATCCATTTATGAAATATTCACTTCAGACGAAATTGTATCGACTCAATCGTTCAAATTAATCAAATAAGAGACGAGGTTTGACTGACACGTCTATAGAAAGAGAACTGAAAGAAAAAAACAGAGACCATTATGTAAATAACTTTGTGTGCGTGGTTTATATTTTGCGTCCTAAACCTTTTTATCTCACAATTTATTCTGGTTTGTGGTAAGGGAAATTATGTGGCCTTTGTTCGAACATTTCGCCACGTAATTTTAGGGTACATAATTTGAGAAAGGGGATTTCAACGTCAAGTTCGGAATAAGCCTTTTTATTAATTTTCGTGCCTCTTTTAATTCTCACATTACTTATACCTCTAGTGAAACAATCGCTTGCAGCTTTTATATTTGATCTCTGTTTTAATGGCATTTACATATTTTTTCCATATTCGTTAGCAAAATTAATCGGAAATCATAGCAAAGTGGCTCTTTTTACACCAGTGTAGAAAAGTAAATCTGGCAATCAGTTATACGCACGAGTATGATTGGTTGTATAGTCCGTATAGCGTCCAATAGCCATTTAACAGACTAGTTCGTTTTTTGCTCACTTTTTCTAATAACAATGACTTTGGTCTAATTTTAATTTGCAACGATTTTGGAAATATGCCGCGTACAGACTTACCCATTATATCAATTACTCTCAGCGTGTCCAAAATTGGGTCGACTACATCCTCGGGGATATGCATGAGTTTGTTGTTTTGGAGATTGAGTGTTTCCAGAGAATTCAGGTTCTCAAAAATCACTCCGCTTAACGACCTTATACTGAAAAAGCAGACTGTGCCGAAAAAAATCGAGGCACTTTTATCAAACTTACTCATTTTTCTGCAAATTCAAGAACGTAATCGAGTCTCCGTAACCGGCAAACGCGTCTTCTGCGATGAACGAGATGTTGTTCGCCCTCAAATCCAAGTGACGTAACCGATGCAGCCGCTTCAAAGCCTCCGTAGGTATTGTATGAATATTGTTATCTCCCAGTCTGAGATATTGCAAGTTCTCTGGAAACAAAAGCCGATGGAGACATATAGTTTCATATTTACGTTATCCATCTAAGTATTCCATCTGAACAATGTCCATTCTATTTTTATTGTCAATCCTTTTGTGGAGTTCCCAACAATTCATGTCGAGAATTACAAATCCCAAATTTCCCTGTTTTAACTTTTCAAATATGAATGGAGTTAAAACCAATGCAAATAAAACTAAAAATTAGAAAAATAAATAAGAACTAAAAGTTCAGATTTTCATGAAATTATATATATTCACATGACAATTGTATCGACAACACCGTGTCGTTATCGAACGTAATATTTACAAACTACCTGCTACTATATATACCGAAAAATGACCATAAAACCTTAATTAATGTTGTTGCGAGAATTTAAGTTCAATAAAGGAGAGGTGTTTAAATATAATTGATCGTTAAGCAATACATTTGAATGTGTCATTTTGTTAATCTCCATGGCTTCCAATAAATTTAGTTTTCTACTTTTTGTGGCTGTATGTAATATACCAAAATTGTCGTGAAAAATGTATTTTTCTGTGTTTAAGTGTGTAGCATAATTAGAATCTAACTATTGTTTTTAAATGCTCTTTTATCTTCGTTAATGCGTTTCTTGAACGATCTACCTCTTTGTCCAATATAAATTTTTAGGACAAGATCCACATGTCAACCTGTAGACACCTGATTTTTGGGATTTTGTAATGTCCAGACTAAGAGAATTGATTACCATAGTTCATATTATTTGAAATGTGTTCGTTCATACTTGAACTATGGCAGTGTATGTTGAGGTAACTCATCAGGCTCTGATTTAAATAAATTTAAATATCTGGCAAAAAGACAGTACCTGGACAAAGTTCTATAATTAACACAGGAGAGTGCCAACTCTCTTAACTTCAATCTTGAATAATTTTATGAACATTCCATTACAAAGTAGGATTATTGTTCTGCATATGCATTAGTGTCTTCTTCAATACGAGGATTATAAATCTACCAGCTACCCCTTGTGGTGTCCACCACCCGCAAAATTTAATTGCATTGTTAAAAACGACACACGCAGCTATCGATTCTAATAAAAATAGCGACGTGTGATATTACAACGTATTGCACAAGTGCCCTTTGTTGTTTCTTATTAAAAATTTGTGTTTCGTAAATCGATATATACTCGACTCTCTTAAACTGAATCGCAACGTAATTCAATAAATCCATAGGAAAAAATTTTAACGGTAAACACGGGTACGGATAAGTGGAATTTTCCTTAGAATTTTCAAGCACGCTTGTTCAACGAAACGGCCAGAACAGTTCCACAAACGCAATGAATATTTTATGTTCGCTTCTATTATTCTCACTACTCGCTTAAAAGTTATTTGCTGTCGTTCCGTATTCACAATTTCCAAATCGGAATAAAGTTGCGCAATCTACTACAGGAAGCATACAAAGTTATCGCGGTTATGCATGTCTGATAGTGGGATTCCGAATATTTTTATGTAGATATACGGGCGCCGCATTCTTCGATGTTACCAATAAAACAGAAATGGAAATTGAGTTAAAATGATAAGAGAAACTACAATCTACAGCAATTTCGTACACCAAAATTACACTTTGATGATTTTTTGCAAATATGGAATAATTGTATAGCAAAATTTCTGCTAAATATACTATCAAACTCGTCATCTCAGCGCACAAGAAAAACATTTTTTATATATCATTTCTTTGATCTTATATATTATTGGAATCATTGGATGATTTTCTGAAAAAAAGTTAAATCAATAAAGATCTTATAATTTTTGATATCCAGGCCAAAAGAATATTTTCTTGATATTTGGTGGAGGACCATCATTTAGAGAAACACTTTTTTCGAGTCAAAATTATTTTTCTGCTTTTACCAGTGGCGTCAAGGTAACCATGACACTGAATATTTCGATCAAAAATCGCGATTCATTTCTTAGTAACAATGTTCTTTCTGTCTTTGAGTCTACACTGAGTCTTAAAAGTTTCCATTTAGTTGTTTTAGTTGTTATTTTTGGTAAAATGGTTTCATGGTCCCTTGTTACAAACCTGAGCTTCTAGCGATACACACATTACTGCTTTTGATTTATTTCATTGGCGACTCTTCGTCGGACAACAAAAAAGTCAATATGATTTTCACTAAAAATTGAATCGACATTTGAAAAATGCCATTTATTTTTGAAAAAAAAAATACAGTGCCAAATCATTTCCTTCCATAAAAATATTTATCGCAAGTATTTTACCGCCAATGGCAAAAGCATAAAAATAATTTTCATTGAGTGCCTTTACCAAACTATTAAGAAATTATCTAAAACAGTTTGAACAAAAAGGACAAAAGTTCTTTTTTTATATTTGAAATGTATATGTGTATCAGAAACAAAGCGATTGCAAATTATATACATATTTTTTAAGAATAGGCCTCTCATTTTGGAACAACTTGCATATTATGCATTTAAAAAAGTAAAAATTTTGTATTAACTGATTGTTTTATAATAATTACTTTGTCGTTGGGTGGTTTTTTTGTATGTATACTGTAGTTTGTACTCCTTGAGGTTCAATGTATTTTAATCACATTTTGTTGCTTTACAAAAGATTAATTTATTTATTATTTCTTATTATTATGTTTAATGTATAAATTTTATTGTTTTTCCACGTATTGATTCACGGATAGTAAAATGTGATTACAATATATTTCGGGATTTTATCCGTTCGTTTGTTGAACTCCGACCGGAATCCTGCACACGTTTCGCCAAGATCCCACATAACATCTTTAGAAAACACTTCGAAACACACTTTTCCTTATTATTATTTGTTATTATTATTGGTTGTTTATCCACAACACTTAATTTATTTGAAACTAACTTTCCATACTGATTTTTATTTTATATAAAAGTGTTTTATTTACTATTACAACGTACTACCAAAGTATGGCAAAAGGTGTCAATTATATTATGTATGGAGGTGAATATCTTCCATTTCTTCTTAACTAATCAATTCGATTTTTTGAATACGCTTATTATTAGTCTAACTAAAAGCACTAACCGACTGATTAATAACGTAAACAACAAAATAACTGCTGATTTGATTCACTTCTCCATTCATACAAAAAAATCAACCAACTTAAAAATATAATATATAATAAATATATAAAGTAACACCGAAGAACAAATTAAAATCTATTCCAACAAGGGAAATTGTCTTTTTGCCTTTTCGAGTATAAGTAACCAGCTTCCCCTTCAAACGGAGAACGATACTTCATATTGTGACTCAATAGAGACTTTTTTTCCCAATATTTTGATATGATCACAGACACATGCGGGAATCTAGCAACAGCTCACGGAAATACTCTTTAAAAAGTAAATAGTACGCAAAAATACTATATTTTTGCCATCAAGCATCGATCACGAATAAATCTAAAACTAAATTGGGTACTGTTATTCAAAAAGTTAACATAAACGGGTAATCTGGTAAATAATTAATATATCTCTATTCTGCAAAATCTTTCCAGCCTAATGTCAACTCTAGACATTGAAAAATTCCATTCGTAACAAAAAAAACGTAAAAATACATACTCTTCATTTTAGCAGAAAATTGTCAACCCACTTGGTTGACACACTAGATTATACGATTTGAATTTCTTCTTAACTGAAACTGTTAAGTTCTGAAGAAGCCAACAGGATGATTGGCGAAACGTTAACAACTTCGACTGAACAACAACCGACACAGGATGAATACAGAATTTTTGTAAATAGAAACATTTAAAGTTAACCAATGGAGCTCGGACGCTGCTCAGAGAAGATTTTGAAAGAGCTAAAGGAAATGATGAATGTGAGTCCTTGACTTTTGATATTCAAAAAAAATTACTTTTACCACGAATACCCACAAATATTGTGTTCTATAAAAGGCAGCTCTGGGTATATAATGCTTGAATTCACAGCTGTAAAGAAGGCCGTGGATATTGTTACGTTTGGGTCAAAGGAGAAGCTGGCAGAGGTTCTCAAGAAGTGAAACACCTTATTCTGTGGAGTGACTCGTGTGGGAGTCAGAACAGAAATATTAAAATGACTCTTTTCCTTCTTTATATTTTACAAAATTCCCAAAATCTAGGAAAAATTATCCAAACTTTTCTAATCTGGAGGCACAGCTTCTTACCGAACGACTCGAATTTCAGCGGCATACAATGCAAATTTAAATCATTCCATCGTGTTTATACGCCTCATGATTATTATGAGAAACTGCCATAAAAAATACCAGGCAATAGAAATAAAAAGTATTTAAGAGGAAGACCATCCACAATCATTGGTTCACCTTTCACATCTCTAGTGCCTTTGAAGACAAACTTAAAAACTTAAACAAAATGATGCATCTAAGACTGGGAGATGCTCTGCTTTTTTATAGCAGCTTAAAATCAGATAAACAGATAGTTGAAGATTAAGATGGATTCGATGTGGAGGAGCTAGATTTCAATGTTGAAGCATGATACTTAAGTTATCGAATTTTATATTTTTCATTCATTATTCCTTAATACAATAATTTGTTGATACTTGATATTAATCATTAGACATAATGAATTTCTTAATTTTCTTAAAAAAAGTAAGTAAAAAACGGCAGCATCTTCACCATGGATCTGAAAATGCTTGCTGAAATGTTCAAATTAATTGTGTTGATGTTGCTAGTTTTGCCTTTTCGTAGGAAATATTTTTGATAATGAACGCAACATGGCGAGTTGAGAGAGGATTAGACGGTATTCGGAGTCGCCAAAAATACACATTCTCTCTAAATTTTTTCGATGTATCGGTGCACAATAAGCATGGTAAACGCAAACACACCCCATCCCCAATTTAACTCCCATACAAGGGATGTTTGTAACCATATACCTATCCGAGACGAATATAATAAAAGCTTTAAGTGCCCTTTCGGGAAACATAAAAAGGATCCATTCTGGTTCTTATTGGGTAGTAAAATAGGTACGTAATATCCCTCTCCGCCTCG